GGAACGTTTTCCTACACAAATACAAAATAATGAAATCATTTCTTTTGGCCTTTTTTGTTTAAATACTGGCCATCCAAATATTTCATGATTCAAAATGTCGGATGATGTTGGCTTAYGCRATATTTTCATTAAAATAACTCTAGTATTGCCTTATTCATGARGGTACAGTTGAACGAAACATTGTGATGCATAATAGACAAGAATACCTCAATGGATGAAATGCCAGCAGCATGAAGAAGTCGCTTGTCCACACCTAAAAAACAGAGTTAACTCGAACTCAACAATGAATTAACTCGAACTCAATAATGAATRMATTYGAACGTTTTTCTTAAAAGTTTGGATAAAACTCTCGTGCATCAAAGTCCACCAGCCATACCAAAGTTACCAATCACAGCTCTGTACTGCGATCTAAGAAGTATTTTCCTTCATTTGCTTGCCCCAWTTTCGAATTAATAAACTGAACAAGGGCATTAATTTCCTTCGAGCGTTGGACCGGGAGAATTCTTAACAGGAAATTCTGTGTGCTATGTCCTGAATGGTAATTGTATCATCTGGAAATAGTTACATTCGAACCTCTATRAACCGGCCATATATATTTACTGTGAACCTCACCTCTGATAAACGGTCAACCTCATGACCGCTTAAAAGGGGTTTTGGCTTTATTTAATTAAAGAGAGCTTACCTTTATTCTTGATAGCAGCATAAAGAAGACATAAAGCAAAGAGCGCCTCACCATCATTGTCACTACAATCCAAGCTTGACCGAATGGCATCAAGGAATATACTGAAATACAAAGAGGTATTTAACATTGAGTTAAAGTAAACGGAAAGGGTTTTCAAGTCGTGAAAACCCCGTTGATCCCCGCGGGTATCCTACATCTATGTGCTTCTTCCCTGTCCGCTGTTTTTCCTCGCTACCGCAAAAGCTAGATGTAGAGTACTGAAGGCTCGTTTATACGATTTTTGCAGAGCGATTCTCGCGGCGATCGTCGTGAGACCATCGCCTGAGTTTCAAACATGCTTGAAAATGGGCTGCAACTTCGCGGTGATTTTCCATCGTCGCAACAATCGCAGAACTCTTCACACATGCGATTTTAGTTACACGATAGCAAAGTGGCGATTATCGCGCTGCAAAAATCGCAAGTGTGCAAACGGGTCTTAAGAGAAAGTAGTGATGTCCCATGCAGCTTACGTAGTTTCTGCCCATTGATTTGAACGCGCCTACCTGTCAGATTTAAAGTCTTTGGCTCTGCGCACAAAACTCTGCAAAAAGAAAAAAATAAAAAATATTAGAAAACGACGCTATGTGTGCTACAATGGTTATTAGAGTTTCAAGCTTACCTTTACTATCATTCGTGAGTTCTTACTGAAGTACAACTGGTCATTTGGCACTATAAACAAACAAAAYAACTAAAGTTCAGCTCAAACACCGAACTTCGCATGTGCCTATTCAATGTACCCTGAAAGGAGATGAAGCTTATCTTTCAAAAAACGATATAAAACGTATTCTTCGAAAACATACCAATCCTTTGTTTATGGTTGTTATCAGCTCGTTTGCATTGAACTCCACACATGTGAGATACGATGCTTTAAACCGGGCTCAGTAGATTTGAATGCTAAAACGAACAGCATTATATCAAAAATACAATACGTACCTTTTAAAGGTTTTTCATCGTTCGCCAATCGTTTTTTGTCCCCTCCTCCTGTTGTTATGGCGCCCAAAGAATCGACTTCTCCCTCTGACACTGCTAGTGGCGTCTCTGTCACTGCTACTGCAACACCATTCAGCTTAGCTGTTAATACGAAATAGATTGGTGCTTACATTTCGCATGATATGGTTGGAAATCGTCATGGATATCTTGTAAGCATCACAGTATTACTGACAGAGAATATTATTACCCCAACTTATACCCAGCGAGGTCGGAAATTAATTTTTCCGAATTTATTCCTAAGGGTCTTTCTCCAGGAATTGCCTCCTTCTAAGCGCTATAACTTTCTTTTATTTCTATATCCCCTCCTTGAAAGTCTACTCCAGTGAAAACGACTTTTTGTTTTTTTATGGTCTCCCTGTGTTGAGATTAGGAACCACAACTGCGCCTTCTTCTGCATTCCTACCCAACCCCTCCCCTCTCTGGCAGACAGAGAAGAGTTGCCTGCAAAGGTATCCTAACCCTATCCCAACATTACACACAGAAATCATGTGCTTAATTCTCACTTGCTACTGTTGATCGTGGATCATCAATCTTTTCTTCCAGAAATCCTCCTTCCGTTTTTCTTTTATCTAATAAAAATTAATAACAACGATAAGTATCCGTTTATAAAGTTTTTATGTCTCATTACGACTTGGTCTGGTTGTAAATATATCATTGCTTTTTTGTGGGTTTATTGTGCAAATCCCCTGCTGTTAAAACTGTGTTAAATACCCAGTRATAATGTGCTAATTCCCAGTCATCCCTTGGGGTTGGCGAGTCAGGGTTTTAACTGACTGATACATAACAAGTTGGTCAAGATAATGACCACAATAGACCCCTTGCAGTTCATGGGAATGCGGCTCCAACTGGAGGACAAAACAATRGATTYTAGTTCCMAAGAGGWTAAAAATCTTTTGTTTTGTCCTCCAGATGAAGCTGCTTTGACGTCACATGCAAGGGGTCTATATTGAGCAATCTCACGTGTCATAAAACTACTTATACCTTTGACATAAAATTTAGAGTTTGCCACRTGCACAGAGCTGGGTCTATCACGTGATAAAGAAACCATTGAAGACTTTCCTAAAAACATGTAACCTTCTGTATTCACACCATACGCCACTAGAGACTCTTCTAAGGTCTGCTCTGGACACTGGAAAGTTCTTATACTTGCAGCAGAGCTTGTTTTAGACCCAGCCTAAGGGGAATGAAGYATTTATGTTATTGAATGATGAGATTTTGATTTGTAAACACTAAAATGTAAATAGTAAATAATCACTCATATGGTAAGGGTGAAGTGAAAAAAATAAACCAATTCACCAATTCAAATTATTTTCATATTAAAATAAGATATGTATAATTCTTTATTGTACCTTTTTAAGTGGTAGCGGTGATTCTTCTGGATTCTCTCCYGGAGCAACTTCATCACCATTCAATATGATATCAATAAGACTTGATACAAGGGGAGGATAATTCATAATGAGGAGAATCTAACAAAAAATATGATCATATATGATAAATAATATTACTTATCAATGAATAACTTGAACTAATAATTGGTATACTGTTAAGTCCAGTAAAAAAACCTTTCCTGCAGACTAACCTGRGACAACAAGAACAACGATACCAGTGCACTAATCCTTGGCTGAACCTTTAAGAAAACAAAAAACAAAAATAAATACCAAAAAATTGCTCAGATATAGAATGATTTAACCAGATATGAAGAACATTAGACACCACTGTACTTAAAGAAAAMCYATCTGAGGATTAGGAAATAAAACCAGGCACAAGAAGCACTTAAACTACTCAGCCATCCTTTGCTACCATCATTGTTGTCTTGCAATATCAAATTTCAAAGAAAATATCTAGACAAGAAACACTTGCAGTGTACAATATTMAGAATCAATTTGAAAAATAGTGCACCAATTCTACTCATCAAGAGTAAAATCTTTTGTATTGCTGCTTGAGMAAGAGAATGCAGTATTTACTGATTTTTAAGCCAYGTTTTTCTTCTCAAGAAATTGCTCTAAATTGTAAGTCGATATAGAACAACTACTACGCCAATTGTCTACCTTTTTGAAATAGAATCAGCATGATAATTAGCATATAATTTCAACATAATGCTGATCACTTAATATTTTTTTATTCACTTAATCTTTTTGTACAAAAATCTAAGAAGCCAAGAGGGCATTTAAAACAAAAAATACTAGAAGAATACAAACACAAAAAKTGAGAAAAAGTGTTTAGCAATCTGGTTGAAGTATTTCATCTTTATACTTACAAGTTCAGTGTCATGTCGGTCTTTGACAGTTGAATATACATACAAGGGAATAAGTAGTCTGTCTAGMAGATGTTCTGTTAAAATGCTGCTAATGTCATGGATGTCTAGTGATAATATATCATGAAGGTAGTGAAGATGGTCAAGATGATCAGCTACAAGTGCTTTGAGATGATCACACTTTAGATGGCTGTGGAAAAGATGGAAAAGAAACCTAAGAAATGGATACTTCGTAAGAAATGGATACTACATTGAGTTTTTTTTTAAATCCATATTTTTTTAAGTTCAATGCTACCCTTAAAGTAAGTATTTCTTCAATTTTATTTCATTTAAAATAATTTCTGTCATGTCTGTTTTCTTCCATCAATTTACAATACTTCCATCTTCCTTTCCACATTTTTTTTGTTCGTTCATTCATACATTCATTCCTTTTCATTCCTCATTTCTTCACATTTCTCATTTCTATATTAGAAATGATTCATACTCAGCGTTGAATTCATTTATGCAACATAAGATTCATTCATCCCACATTTATTTATTCCATTCCCATTTTGACTCAATCAGTCATTTATTCACTAGTTCATTCACTCTTTCTTTCACTTACTCAGATACAAATTTATTCAATCATTTAATATACATTAAAAGCATTTAGATATAAGTTGTTGTTTTATTAGTGTGGTCACTCCTTTTCAAAGAATACTCACTCAGCTTCTTTCTGAGCRCAGTTGTCAAGTTCTATTGCATGGCTCCCAATAAACCAAACTAAATTCCAGAAATAAGGGTCTGCTGTTTTGTCTCTAATAAACTCCAGCATGTTCTTATCACCAACTAAAACACACAAACAAAGAAATGTTATTTATTATAAGTTTTAGTTCCTCATTGTTGTCTAAGTTATTCTTTTTCAACAGCGCTACCGTGGCCTCTTTGAGACCAGACTTCTTGACCCAGCATTCAAAATCAAAAGGAGTCATAGCTAAAATAAACAAAAAAATCAGGTGATTGCTTAAATCCTAGCTTGCTGACAGCCTTAACAACTGATTGTTTAGCTAGTCTCTTCGCATTCTATGCCTACCGCACATTGTGTCTTGCCTAGTTATTTAATCATGTTAAACGCATGTCTATCATTCACAATTATCTTATTACCTCTGTATACATTCAGTGTTAACGTCCTGACTGCTATTCTCACCATGCTTTCAGAATGGTTAAAGAACTTAAGAGCTTCAGTGTACAAAGGGAAGTCATTCTTTCTCTGGCAAACAACAACAATCAATGAATATTAGGATAATTTTACAACAATAATATAATAATTCATAGTTTTACTGCACAGTTTCATCCTTACCTCATTGAAAAAGAAGTGAATAGTCTGAGTATTCAGCTTAAGAGACAGAGTTTTCAAAAATGAAATGTAATACGCTAAAACC